GGATCTGTGCTGGGAAGGCCCAAAGAAAGGTCAGTGGTGGAAGCTAGGAAGTCTATGCCAGCAGGGTGAAGGAGCTGTGCTGGTAGGTTGAGGGTTCTACACTAGAGCTGAGAAGTCATGCTCATAATAAAGACCAGGGCTGTCTTGAAATGACCACAGCCATCTTTAGCGACACGGAGGCCACAAGCTCCTCTGATAAGCACAGTCGAGTACATGCTAGGAAGCCAGCATGATGAGTTTTTCCTGGAGATTAAACAGCACATGTCTTCCCCTCTGGAGCCAGGAAGCGATGCTCGATGTAAGGACCAGAGCTCCCCCAAAGTGAACCATAGCCACTCTCACCAACAAGGTCCTGAGCTCCTTTGATGACAATGGTTGAACTCTCAATGAGGAAGCTAATCACGGTGAGCTCCTTCAGGAGAACCAATGGCTCAAACAGCAACAAATAGGAGAACCACCAACATCTTGCTTCTCCTTCTCCACTTCTCTATTTTTGCTGGCAACTTTCTTCAGGTGGAACATCTATGTTCAGCACCATGCTGATTTAATTCAGATGTCGTTAAATTGAGCACCAGTTTTTAATCCATAACATATGCAATTTTCTCTTCTAGCTTTACCTAGCACCATAAGGTCTCCTGGCACTATTCCTTAAAATTCTTTTGTGCTTGTTTCCTTAGTACCGCTTAGAACATTTCATCACACATGAATCAAGTGACAAATATTCAGCCAAATACCATTGTTCTCTCTCGTGTAGCTCTGTCTTCTCTATTCCTTTGCCTTGTGCCTTCTGGCCTCTGAACCTTTCTTGGTCTGACTTACACCTCATCTCAGAAAATCCACTGCAGTTCTTTCCTACTCCCCCCTTCCTGCATCATGATTTGGAAACTTCCAGGAAGTAAGCTCAAAAAATTGAAGAGCATATTTTTTTGTTGCTGAATTAATTAGTAAACTTATTTTTATCTATCAAATGAATAAAATGAGTCTAAACCATTATTGAAAACATTGCATTCTGAAATGTTTGAAATCTCTCAGAATTGACATTTAAATTACGTGATGTTGCACTGTGCCAACTTTTGTGGATATATTTCATTCTGTAAATTATAGAAATTCATACTTTTGCTTGTTTGTGCTTTTGAAATCATTGTTTTATGTTTTTGTTTTTTTCCTGATTATACAGTGATCTCCTAAATATATTAAAATAATTATAGATTATTATTAGGTATAATAATTCCTTGAATTCATAGTACTTTAAATGAAAGTTGCTTTAGTATCTCTAATTATTTTCACTGAATGGGAATAAGTTTTCTTAAAACAGTTGTGCAGACCTAAAATATTAATACTATACTATTTATTACTTCTTATAACATTTATTTGCCAGTTAAAATAGTTTTACTGGTAAGCCCCAAAAGTAATGTGCATGTGACTCTTGTTAAATTATAATTGATGGAATTAGAAATAGTATTTTATTGCTATTGATATTAACATTTATTAGGTAGGAAAAATCTTACATAATTACTCAGATCTGGAAAATGAAATTTTATGAGGAAGAGAGCAATGATTTTATGGGAAAAGAAAAGCCTTTTGAAGAGTTGCTGTACAAAACTGTTAAGAGGCAAATAGGAAATAAAGCTTCTTGTGATTAATTGGAAATATTTAAGACATGTAGCTTCCTGTTACACAGTCAACCTGTTCCTCCACAGTGTGTGGCTATATTTCCAGATGCCAACCAGGAAAAAGAATTCATAATTGGGAAACAGATGGAGTGGCAGGGGCTGCCAGAGGCTGTGAACGGCCTCACAGAGTCCAGCACTGCCTGGGGCTGGTCACCACTCAGCACAGCTGGATTCACTCCTGACCCCAGAGGCCAGCTAGGAGCCTACAAGTCATCTCAGTTCGAGCACAATCCACCCCACTACCTTCATCTAAGAAAGCTCTTGAATCAGAAATCAAATTGGCTGCCGGGTCTCTATTGTACAGTGTGCTTCACAAAGAATTCACCAAAATAATATAGCTATATGAAATCCTAATGCAAATAAGGAGCATTCTCCATAAATGCTTTTGACAAGTGATAAACAGATGAAACAAGTTAAAATATAAACACGTAGCATTGGTTTATCATACCCAGTTCTCCTTGGACCAATGACTCCCAAGTTTAATACCAGCAGTAACCTCTGGAAAGAAAGTGTCTGTGAGGGTGCAAGGTTTGATCAGTGGTGAAGGGGACTTAGGGCTCCAGTGTTTAGCTTTCAGTTTGTCTATATATTCACAAACAAACTTCTCTCCTGGGATTTGCACTTCTCTGTTAGCTAGCCCAAAGGCAAGATACTTCTTTTTGTGCTTCTAGCATTGATACCTGATACTGGATTTTACAAAACTGAGCTTGATTCAGAGAGAAACAAGAAAAAAAGAAATAAAAGTGGATATGTATCATGAAGAACTCACACATTTTTTAAAAAATATGATTTTTTGTAGTGTTTATAAATGAAAAAGGTAACATCCTTGCACAAAACACTTTTAAACTATTAAGGATATCAAAAAGTAATTATTTTCTCAAATGATATCATTTTGATTTTAAACATTTGCTTATAGGCAGAATTTCTTGAAACTTAACTGGCCTCTATTTTTATCCTCCTTTTGAGCATGACATAAACCATAGTTTAAATCTTCAAATTGCTGTAGACGTAGTTGTGATATAAATAAGTTTCAATGTAAATCCCCAAATTAGGTTGACCCTTTCTCAGTAGACTGAGAAAATAGAAGGATGAAGAGTCCTTCTATTATAACCAAGCTGCTTGCCATCACATTCAGTGATGGTGGAAAAAGGACTCTTTAGGGTGGTGAGGTCTCTCCAGAACTCTCCAGGACTCTCCAGGAGGGTGAGCAGAGGTGAGCCAAGAACTCTCAGGACACTTACCGTACAAGAATAGATCACAGTGACCTTGTTAGTAACAGGTTCACCACACTTTGGTCCTCGGGTGCATGGTTTCTAGACTGTGGATTTATGCCCGCATTTCCATCTCATGCCACACTTCTCACTGGTGTGGCAGCTCTACTACCTCTATATTCTTTAAGTATGCCGTGTGCTCTTTCTATATGTTGATTTACCAGTTTACATATATTTTACATATAATTTACATATATTCCTTATATGTTAATTTACATCAATGTAAATTCTTCCTTTTCTCCAAATGGCACCCCTCCTTTGAATCTAAGGTCATGCCTCACTTTCTTAAGGAAGCTGTGACTCAACACTCATGTATAAACATACATCAGAGTAAATTAAACTCTGGACACCACCCTCATTGTTGTAACATCCACTTTAACTTCATAGGATTTGTAATTCTTGCTCAGTGCCTTTTTCCCCCTCATAAGTATGTAACGTCATAGGACATACAGTCGTGGGTCTTGTTCTCAGCTGAATTCATAGCAGAGGATCATGGTAAGTGCTATGCAAAACCAGAAGAAAAGAAGGAAAGGAAGGAGGGAGGAAGGGAGAATGGGAAACAAGGAAGAAAAGCAGAAAAGAGGAAGGAAAGAAGAAAGTAGAGAAGGAAGGAGGAAAAATCTGTGCAAGTTTTAGTTTCTATCCTAGTGGATTTAGAATCACACGAGCATTCACTGGTCTTTGGCGCAGACTATGTGGTTATATTCACTAACTGAAGGGCACTCTTCTGTGCAGAAGGACAAACATATTCCATGACCGAAATGGCCCTGTCATTCCCCACAAGTTTGCTAAAATTTAGAGAGAATTCTTCCTAGCTGTGATTCCCTGACTCCTTCCTTTGTAGAGCATACACTTTGAAAAGTTTGCAGTTGTGATTTTGTTCTCTGTTCCTTTGAGATGTAAGTCTTCTTCCAGCCTCTTGCCAGTTTTACAATCAAGGATGTCTTTCTCAAGGACCTTAGAGCCATTCCTCTGAAATTTAACAATCAAGAATGACTGCAAACCCCATTTCCCCCTACTTTTGTGGGATTATAGAAGACCAGTTTACAGCCATGACAAGTAGGAGACACAGACGACTCCTCACAGTGACCAGCTTCCTCACTGACATCCTCCAATACTTGCTAGCTTGCTAGCTCTCCCAAGTGCTAAAAAATCCTTCCATGTCTGGTTTCAGCAGTGTGGAGTTCAGTGGTTCTTTTGTTTGTTTGTTTTTATCTTTGCAATAATCTTGATCAACTCTGGTACAGCTTTTTTCCTCATTACTCTCTTAGATGCAACTTACATGTGCAACTGAATTAAATCAGTGTTCCTTCTCTCATAGTAACTCTGGATGTTCTGGGAGACAATCACCTTTTAAACTTTCTAACCCACTGAATAAAATGTTAGTGAACTCCCATTAAGTGAGAAAGACAATTCTTTTTCACTTCAGTTGAGATTATTTTACATTAATACTGTTATTTTGAAATCGGTTTAGAAAAACACTCTAGTCATTCCTAAGGGAGGTAATTCTGAATAATGTCCCAGGAGCAAATACTATGCTTGGTGTGTTCCAGAGTGAAATCAAATTTCTACCACAAATAATACCGCTCATATAATGATCTTGATTACAGTTGTGAAACCTTGCTGAGGTCTTATTGTGCAGGCCTTAAATGCCTAGGTTTTATTTTTGTGACCAGGGCAGTGACTGACAGACTTTGTGATTCAGCGGTGCAGAGAACTAGACATGGGGACCTGGTTGCCTGGACCCAGCAAGACATTAGCTAGCTGTCGAACATGCTCATTTACTATAAAAATAAGTAGCACAGACTGACATTTAGTAAATGCTCAGTGAGCTTTAGTTCTTAAAATTGTCATGAACTTTATCATTTCTGTCACTAGTATAGAGAACAAACAGAATGTTCCATTTTCTACCAGAGAGAGAAACATTGATGGATAGTAATGCTGACTTAAAGTAGACTTCAAACTTTCTGCGTTGTTTCATTCACGTCTAACTCTGAGTTCCATTTGTGAGATGTTTGTCTTTCTCTCTCCCTACCCTGATCCCTGTATTTTCCAGCGATGGATGGGCAGACAGAGATGAAGTCATTGAAGGCTATGAGGTGGAAGCGAACGGGGGAATCACAATAAAGCTGCAGTCTCCAGAGGTCAGATCATTTGATGATTATTTCCTGAAGCTAAGGCTGGATACTAACACGAGGAATCCCTGGTTTCCTGAGTTCTGGCAACACCGCTTCCAGTGCCGCCTACCAGGACACATTCTGGAAAATCCCAACTTTAAAAGAATTTGCACAGGTAATTCTTATTCACGAAACAACAGCTCACAGCTCTAGTCATCGTCTCTGGCTCTATTTCTGATTGTGGATTGAGAAAAGAAGGTGCTAGGGTTGAGGATCTAAAAAGATAACATAGCCCTTCTAATAAAATAGAATGAAGTAAAAGCATGTTTGCCTTCAGGGACTCATGTTCTTGTTCCAGAAAAGCCGCTTTGATTTCTGGTGGGACAAGTGATAAAGAGATAATATAATTAGTTGCAAATAAAATTGAGAAGTCACATATCTATTTTTCAAACCAGAGAGATTTCCTTTCATTGTGTAAGTATGTAGGAGGTTCTGGCTAGAGGCCTAACTAAGACACACTGGCTTGGCTCTTTTTTCCTTTGTGAGTTGCTTTAATTTACAAGTCAGGGAAAGAGGAGGTGATAGCATTGTAGAGCACCCCATTGCATTGGTGTTTGTGGACATAGGTGCCAAGAAATCGTACCCTTATATGTTATCCAGAACGATGATTCCTACTGTAGAGATGCTCTTCACTAATACCATGCCAGACAGTGACCTTGAACTCCTTAACACTGATGAGCATTATCATTGCTATGTAACTTTCATAAGCATTAGCATCTACATAACTTTTGGAGCATCATCATTACTATATAAGGGCACTGTGTTCCCTGGTCAATTTTTAGTATTGCCTATGATCTCTCATAGTACTATATGAAGCCAGTTTTTCAGACTGAATTAATCATATAGTGCCCTGGTCTACCCATACACAGATTATGGTCTCTTCTCATGACCTCATTTGCTTTATTTAACAATGCTACGACATTTACTTCTTGTCTAGGCTGGACTGAAGTTATTTAGAAGGTCCTATAATCCATTCATTTACATCATAAGCATGTATAAAACATTGTATTCAGAAGAAAAGGGGACAAAGAAATGTATAACCTATAATTCTTAACCTAGAGGAAGTTGTAGACTCTTTGGGCCAATTGAAACAGATCATGTCATTCACATGAAACATAAATAACCAAAGACAACGAGTTTTTATACAGCAGTTAAGAATAATGCTGCTCATATAAAATACTTCTTCAATAATAGTCACATATTGATGTTACATAAGTCTTTTAAATATCAATAAGTATAAATGCGAAATATATGTCTGACTTGGTAAAGTTTAGCAGACTTCCCTGAGAAATTACTGGGTGTGTATTTATTTTCAATGTAGGGTTTTACAAGTCCTCAGTATGGCTTCTAGGCAAAAGGGAATATAATCCCGCGGAGAAGCAAAATGAAGGGGAATTAGGCACTAAATATCCAACCTCCCTCTGCACATATGTGTTTTTTCCATGGGCTTCTAAGAGACCCGAAGAAGTTAATGATTGCAACAAGTCATGTAGGAGAGTCTTACTGATCTTGAGGTAGAACAGAGGTAATAGTTTCCCTAGGTTCACCAAATCGATGGCAACAATAGAATTAGAACCCACATCTCTGTGTAATATAATGACTGAATATGTTTAGACTGCATTTAATAACACCATTCCTTCTCTCAAAGAACCCTCACAACATCAACCTCTGGGAGTTAATCATTCCTGATAGCTAATTGATCATTTAATTTATATTTTCTTATAGTGTAGAATTCTTTTTATAATTAAGGGCTCTTATTTTTAAATGAATTCTATTTCTTTCATTCAACATTCAACAAATATTTAATAAGCATCTAATGTATATAAGGTTTTATTTTAGACCCCTATATTTCAGAGTGGGGAAATAGCAAAACTTTCAGGAAAATGTGTTTTCACTTACTTGATCACAAGAGCCATCAAGAAAGTTAAGAATGAGAGTAGGGAGCAGTTGAGACAAAGGCATGAAAAAGAAAGCCTGGGTGAGAAGATGATTAAAGACACGAAGTCAAAGAGAGAGTGCACTGTCCTAAGATTAGCAGAGATTTCCAAGCATAAGGATCAGCACTGGACACACCTGCCCAGTTTAGTGGGAGAAGAGGAAGCAGGCCAGTGTCGCTGGAGCCAGTGGGCACACTGACAACCAGAAAAAGAAAAAACCCAAGTAGCAGGAAGAGGGACAAGGCCAGTGTGCAAAAGACAGTGGAGGGGATTAGCCACGGTAGAAGCAAGAACATGGAGGTAAGGGTCGAATGCTGACTTTATTTTTAGTAAGAGTTTGAGGGGTTTGTTGATAAAATTATCCAGAATGATTGATTTGAACCATTCGAAATATGATGCCATCACTGACTAAGACCTGCAAGACTTAAACAAATGCAGCTTGGATAACAATGCAAGGTTAATTTTGAATATGTTAAGTTTGAGATTTCTTAGTGTCCTATGTCACAATGTCATTATTTTTTACAAATTGTTAGCACATGTTTTCAGTACATAATGTTTACATTCCTTGTGGGGAGATGGTGCACATGCATAGCACATTTTAATTCTTATTACTTTCTCTTTCTCTCCCTTCATTTCCTCTTCCTCCATCTGTTGGTCCTCTTTCTATTTGATAGAAAAGTATGTCCATTCCTCCTATGTATTTTTTATGTCCTCTTTTTTTATAATTTGGGTTTCTCATAGAAGACAAATTATGCAATATTTAAGCTTAGTTCAGATTTATTTATTTCACTTAACATTATGGTCTCAAGGTATAGCCATTTTTGTAAAAATGACTCACGTTTATCTTTCTTTTGGCAGAGTAGTACTCCATTGTGCCTAAATGTCACATTTACATTTTCCACTCATCTGTTGCTGGATGTGTAGGCTCCTTTCCAGTTTTAGCTTTTATGAATTGTGGTGCCATAAACATAGATATAGGTGTATCTCAGTAATATGATGCCTTTAACTCTTTGAGGGAAGAGATATAAAAAAGAATTTAGCTGGGTCAAATGGAATGTATTAATTTCCGTAGTGGTTTTACTAGTTTACATTTCTACCAGTAATGAGAAGCCTTTTTTTCCCTGCAACTTTGTTTGTTATTATTTGATTTCCCGATGATGCCCATTGTTTCTTGAGTGAGAACTGTTTAAATTTGTATTTCTTTAATGATCAGTCATGTTAAATTTTTTTACGTATTTATTTGTCCTTATATACTTCTTCCAAGAAGAGTCTGTTCATTCCAGATTCCCGTTTTGGGGACATTTAGTTAGGGGGTCTATTTTATTATGTTTTATTTATTCTATGTATTAGTTCTCTGTCTGAGGAACAGCTTGCAAAAATATTTTGCCATTCTGTAGGATATTTCTTCACTCTCGGTTGCTTCTTTTGCTGTGCAGAAGGTTTTTAATTTGATGTGATCCAGTTTGGTGATTGTTGATATTATTTCCTGCATAACCAGAGTTCTGTTCAGAAAGTCCTTGAGGACCTATAGCTTCCGGGGTTTTACACATTCTATCTTTGAGCAGGTTATTTCTTCTTTAATATTTAACCTATTGATTCATTTTGATTTTAACGCATGATGAGAGACGTGGGTCTAGATTCAGTCTTCTATATTTGGATGGCCAGTTTTTCCATTTATTAAAAGGCTATCTTTCTCTAGTGAATTTTTTGCCCCTTTGTTAAAGGTAAAATAGTTGAATGTATAAAAAAGGCAACAATTTTCTACCCACACTGATACATTTTGTGCTAGTGCTCTTTAAAATTGATCAAGAAATAAGATAGTTATAATAGTTCCATTATTAAGAGATATAAATATATTCATACCCATTAAACCAACACTCCAAAATATTCTCAAAGATATCCTAGAAAGAGACAATGAAGTTAACAATGACAAAAGGTCTAATGTAATATATACAACAGGAAAGGTAAGCAGTTAAGTAGAAGAAAAACAAAAGTGGGGCTGGGGATTTAGCTCAGCGGCATAAGCACCTGCCTTCCAGGCAGGTAGTCATGAGCTTGATCCCTGGTACAGGAAAAAAGAAAAACAAAAGTAATACATAACAAAAATAATACAATTAACAGGAATATGTCAATATCTATCAGTAGTGACTCTCAATGTGAATGGTCTCAATTTCCCAGTGGAAAGACATAGATTAGCCACATGGAACACTGCTAATACTCAATGATATGCTACATACCAGAAGCATATTCTCCTCTAAATTCATAGACTAACAATAAAAGGACAGAACGCAGTAATATATCATATAAATAGAAACAAAGACAAAAATCACATGATCATCTCAATAGATGCAGAAAAAAATCTTTGACAAAATCTAGTATCTATTCATGTCATTGTGATTTATTATTAAATATTAGAATGCTATTTACTAAACATGCTTTGGTATTTTTATATAAGGATTTCTAGGAAAATATTTTGTGATTCAAGCTCTCACAAAAACATTAAACTCTGCAGCCATGTATACATACTAACACTCTGAGTTTTCAGTTGTCACAGCACATGTAAATGTCAAAGTTAAAGCTTGCAGTTGATTAATGTTTACAGCAGGAAATAACTGCTTGAAAATTCATGAATTGTTCTTCTAGTTTGCTTGACTCTGAAAGCTAGTTGTAAGAGTAAATTTAGCATATCCCAGGTATGTTTGCATTTCTTTCTGATGTCAAATTCAGAAAGCATTTCTCTTCGTGTTGTTAGTTCAGGAAAAGGCAGACACTTATTTAATTTTCTAGTTGAAATGAATTCACAAGATATATTAATCTTTTCTGCTTCTGAAGACCTAGAATTTTATATTTACCTATACTATCTGTATGCATATATCCATGTAAATTTACATTGCTCTTCAAATTTATTCCCTGCATTTCTTTGAAATTGCCTTCAATGTTATTGACAAACAAGATAAACTTTTTATTTCCTGTATTACTTTTATGCACTTGAGAATATTGCATATCAAAAGAATTCTATAGTCTTGTAATGAATATGCAAACACATTTATAAAATTTAGTGTAAATTACAATTAGTGTGAAGTAGAAGTAACCTTCCCAGATTTTTGATAGCTACTGATTCTGTCAGTCATTTTTAGACTTCTGGTGCTTTGGAAAGTTTTGATATTGATATTTGTTT